ATATTATAATAATAGAATAAGATAGATAATGAGAAAATGTATATTATAATAATAGAATAAGGTGAATTTAGAAACTCCACAATTTATCCACGTGACCTAATGGAGTAATTCTCTGTAGTTCAGGGACGAAATGGGTAATTCTTTGTAGTCTGGGGACGTAATTTCAATGGGTGTGATTGCTAAAAGTGATAGGTCTATGGTTGTGTTTGCATTTTCTCCACAAATAACTCCATAGCTATAACGCTGTGTCTGATAGTCGCTCAGGGGGCGGCTTGGTCAAGCCGCCGCCAGAGCGTTGATTAAATTCCATGCATCTGGCCTAATTTTTTTTGGTAAATTTATTTGAATATTAATTTTTATTTATAAAAATAGGTTGGTGAAGAATTATTTAGAAAAATAAATTAGATTTTTTCAGTTGAAAAATCAATTCCTAAGAAATTAATTTTGTAAAGAAATCGATTCTTAGATGAATGGTTTTATTTTATTTTTTTGAGAATTCAGTTATAGGAGAATCAATTTTCTAATTAGGAAATTCGAATGTTCTGCAAAGCTCCATGAATGGAGTTTTGCAACAAAGAGGGGAAGAAAAGAGTGAGCAAAAAAAGGAAGAGGAAGGAGGAGGAGGAAGGAAGAGAATGGAATGAAAGGAAACGAAGAGGAAGAAGGGGAGAGCTCCTGCCAGGATGGGAGCTTTCTTGCGGAAATTGATTATTCAAAAATCAGTTTCTCAACTAAAACAAAATTAACTCATTTTCGTAAATAATTTTTATAAAAACTATTTGAGTAAATAAAAAAATTCTTAATATTAATATAAATGTTTTCTATTTTTTCTAAATATAAAATTATAATTAAATTACTTTAATGGACATTTTTAAAAATAATTTAGATATTTATTTTTATTTTTAAAATTTTTTAACATATTTATTTAAATTTAGTTTCTCTAAATACTTTTTTTAAAACATAAATTGTTTTTTTCAAACTTATTTTTCTTAAACCTACAACCAAATCAGACTTAAGAATTTAATATAAGTTATAAATGCAAAGGTTTTCTTTGGTTGTCATGACCTAAAAATTCATATTCGTAACTGGCGCTAAGATTGAAATAGATTCTATCCTATGAAGTTTATAGAAATCATGTAATTATCATATAAAACAAAAGTAACTAAATAGAATCTTGTGTAAACATAATTTGAATAGAACACATTTTCAAATTCAATAGTTTCGTTAATTATAAAAGGGACCTATCTATATAGTTAATGGAGCTCAACTACGCAACACCTCACAATTCTTAATATTCTTAATAGAAAGAGAAAAAAATCATATTATCTACTAGTAGTAGAATCAAGAATCTTCTTAGACGACAGAATCTAATGGAATATCAAATTCTAAATCTGAAAAATAATAAGGATAAGTCGATAGACCCAGTGATTAATAACATGCATTTATGAGAATAAGTAACATGTATAACAACTATGCAGAAAATTTTATTTTAAAACTAGAATTCATGCATCGTAACTTTTAAGAAGTTTGCGATCTAGAATAAAACCATAATCAGACGGTAATCTCGTAGTCTGCTGATAACAGAAATCAGGCCACAGCTTCATAGTCAGCCAATAACAGAAATTAGGTAGCAACCTCATAATCAACCGATAACAGAAATCATGCAACAATCTCTTAGTTAGCCGATAATATAAATTAGGTGGTGACCTTTTAGTCAAGCCATAACAGAAATGAGGTTGTGACCTTATAGTCAACTGATATACAATATAGTATAGGTCATGGTACTCAGTCTACCACCTATTTCTATTAGCTGAAGTGTTTTGTCAATCCAAATTTCTCTTTGAACCAGTTTTACTGATACATAGGAACAGTATCAATTGTAAACATAATTGTCTTTAGATACAGGTATAAGCATTTTCAAAAAACAAAATTTGATAATACTTCAAAATAGTTTTTTAGACAATTCTCATACATGTCCCTTGTTGTATTTTCATTTAATCAATTAATTTACTTTTAAATCATAAATCAGGTGTCAAGTAAAATCAAAACTTTCAATATATGTAGAAAACTGTGAATACTCATAAATACACATTATTACTCACTAAACATGTTGGAATCAAATAGTTCAATCTTCGGTAGTACAGGCTCAATAAAAAACTTTTCAAGAATCTAAAATCTCAAAACGATAACATGTCCAAATTAGAATTTGAAGTATTTAAGAGTTTAATTTATTCTAGAAACTCTTAATCAAACCTATTTGATTAAGATAATCTAAGTCCAAAACCAGGTTTAGATCTCGAGGTCCAAAACACAAATTTGGATTTAATATTTTTATATTTATTTATTTACTTCTCTTAAAAAGAATTCCAAATCCAATTTCATCAGGTTAGATCTCGAGGTCCAAAACACAAATTTGGATTTAATATTTTTATATTTATTTATTTACTTCTCTTAAAGAGAATTCCAAATCCAATTTCATATTTGAATCCCAAAATCTTGAGTCAAAGTCTCTATTTGAAATCCAATCCAAATTCAAAATAGAAGCCTTTGCATAAAAACCAGATTTAAAACTCAAATCTAAATCCAGATCCATATCATTACCCAATCCCTTAAGTCCAATATCATAACTCCAAAAGTAAATACAAAATTTATATTCTCAATTACAATTCTAATTCTATTAGATATGGATCTATAATCCCAAAATCATTTCAAAACCCTTAAACTGAAACCCAGAACCATTATCCAAATCCAAATCTAATATAGAGTTTATATCACAATCCAATACCTAATCCATTTCTACATAACCATAATGGAATCCAAAATCTAAACCCAAATTTGATTCATACTTGATTAACTAGGTTATTTTCCTACTTCCTTTATCGAGAGAATTGCACAATAAGGTAAGTTTTCAAGTCTGCAATGGTGGCTTCCAATGCTAAAAAGACACAAAATGACAGCTTATCTTCATCAATTGAACAAAAACAAAACTAGAAATGACAGTGATGCTTGTAGCAACAACAGAGAAGGTGACAAAAATCGGCAACTATGTCTTGATAATTTCTCTCAAAATTAGAGGCGATTATGTGAAATTAAACAAGAAATCTCATTTTAATAGCTTATATTGATGTGATTGTGTGCTTAATTTGAGATCAAATCATTCAAATCTGGAGAATTTGATAAGATTGCAGTTAGGGTTTCGAATAAGAAAACATGAATGATTATCAAATCCAGGTTTTGAAAATTTTCAATTAGGTCCTTCAATTCCTGTTACATGCGATTTAGTCATTGTTATTTTTGATTCATGCCATTTGGGATTATAAAGTTTAAGTTAAATCAATTGGGCACTCTAATCTTTTAATTAAGTCCCCAAATTTTTTATTTTTATCAATTAAGTCTTTAAATTATCACAAATTTTCAATTGACCCCTAAATTAGGGTATTACATGGGTTGTGCCAGTTTAGACACTTCATGTAATTAAATGGCTATCCAAATCTCTTTAATTATTAAACGAGTTTAATTAAATGGATTAGAATTAGATATAAGTTGGATTTAATAACCAACATAACCTGATATTACAGGTATACTACTAGATTATTTATTAATTTAATATAAACAAAATTATCTCTCTAAAATTTTCTCAACTCTCTCTATTTGAAAAAAAAAATGAATATGATAAAATTATATCGTACATCATACATGTATTATATGTATATCCATTAGAATCCAATTATTAAATGAATTTCTACGCACGATAGTTATGTTGGGTTGATTTGAGTTGGTTCGCCCGGATTGGTTATATAATTGGAGTAGCTCTGTACTAAATGGATTAAATCATCTAAATCCATTTAAATATTTGAATAGCCTTTAAACGGATTTCAAGTTAACATGTTTATACATATAAATAATTTAAATTAATCATTTACTTTTGTTATATATATATATATATATCTGTGTGTGTTTTATTGACATCATTAACCCTGTTCATCTTCCACACAAAAGCCATCTATCAACAAACTATTATTTACTTCTCTTTCAAGGCTGGCTATTTGTTATATTTAATTTATGTGATATTTATATACATGACAAGGGATCAATGGATATTAAGGGTAAGTATAAAAGATTTATACCAAATTTTATGTCATTAATTTGATTAAAATCAACAGATGAGATTAATTATAACTGTTTAATTATAAATTAATTATTAAAAATTATTAGAAGACAGTTATAATTAATTTAATCCGTTGATTTTGATCAAATTAATGTTGTAAGATTGGTGTAAGTGTTTTATACTTATACCGGTGTTAATTGATCTATTCTATATATATATATATATTATTTATTTTAAGTTAAGGGATGGAATTTTGGATTTTTTAGATTGACTTAACCCACTTGTACAATAAAGTTTTTTTCTTTATTCCTATACCTACAATCTAAAAAAAAAAGTAGATCTAAATAATATCTATACTTAAATGTTAATATAATTTACGTATAAAACTCCTTAAAACTGTTGAATATAGATTATGCAATTTGTTAGAACTTAAAACTGATTTATTTACCATTTTTTTCAGTTGTGTAGATTCATGTTTCGTTATTTATATTTAAATTTTTATGTGGATTAAATCAAGTTTTTTATTTCATTCATAATTTAGAATGTATTTAAAATTATAATATATATTAATTAAATTTACACTAAGAACACATTAAGTTAAACACAATAAATTAAGAGAACAAATCGAGGGTCATTAACCCATATTAAATTCTAACGTACTGAAACAAGAACTTGAATAACTGTTGTAATTCTAATACTCAACTAACAAATATTACAGGCTCTCACCCATTTGATTAACACTAAACATTAAATAATCATTATTAACGCGCAGAGATAGGGAGAGAGAGAAGGAATCCCAAGAAAAAAGAGAAACGACATGCAGAAGGAGAGGGAGAGGAGAGACGATGATGGGGGAGTTAATTCTGAGCAAGGAAGCGTTTGATGAGAAGCATCAATTCATTAGCAGCGTCGGAATTGGGATATATGGTGAAGAAGCCATGTTGCTGTCCTTCGAACTCCGCGTACTCCACCTTCTTTCCCCAACCCTGAGCTTCTCCGCGTACTCCTCCGCCCTGTCTTTCAGCAGATCACTGCCTCCAACCACCACCAGAATCGGATCCAGTTCCGCCGTTTCAAGAGGCGGGCTCGCCGGTCCGAATGGATTCACCGCCGGATGATCCCTGCTCTCCCCCAACGGTATCGATAGCCTCCAAAACCTGCTTAATCAATACAACCCCTTCACCATCAAGAAAAAAGTTGATGGAGGTTTGCAACAGAGCAAGAGGAGAGCTCCTACTAGGATGAGAGCTCTCTTGCAGAAATTGATTATTCAAAAATAAGTTTCTCAACTAAAACAAAATTAACTCATTTTTATAAATAATTTTTATAAAAACTATTTGAGTAAATAAAAAATTCTTAATATTAATATAAATATTTTCTATTTTTTCTAAATATAAAATTATAATTAAATTGTTAGCTTCAAGGTTTCGTATTTATTTTGATAATGACAAAACAAATTAAAATTATTATATATTTATATAATGAATAATATGGACAATTTATAATATTAAGTTTATTGTTTAACTACATACATTACATGTACTAAATTGTGAAGCTGTTAAATTAGACATGTGTGTAGTAAATTAATTATATCTTACAATAGAAAAGTCAAAAAATTATAAAGTCAATTTTATATGAAACTACACTCAAATATCTTTATTTTGATATATAATTCATCATATATATTCTTTTGTATTAAAGCAGTTTATTATATCAATCTCATATATTATTTTCTGAAAAAATCATTCTTGAAATCTGCATGATATTTGTTTTAATTAGTAAAATATAATTTATAATATAAATAAAATTATGAATTAATTTTATTTGTAAAGTAGACGTGTTAAGCTTTAAATGCATATATTATTTGCACATTTTACACTTATAGTTTGATAGATATAATTTTTCAAATTGGGCCATTTTGCTGAGTTGCACTGTCAGCAGACAAAATGAGTATACTACAGTATTTTGACAATATCTCAAAATATAAAAGTCAAATTCATACAAATCCAAATTTGAATGAAAATAGATGTTATAAGCTTTTCAAATATATATAATTTGTTATTTTTGAATACAAATTCAAATTTCTAGACAATTTTGAATTTGGCCAACAACTTTTGACAAAAGCAATTTTTACAATCTGGTATATCGTTGAAGATTTGATGATTTCTCTCAAACAGTGCACGATAATTGAATGATTCTTTTTGAATTTGAAAATAGACTCAATGAGGAGTATTCAAGAATATTTTAAGATTTTTTGAACGTTCGGAGCCATTTTATTTGGATTTTTGAATCAAGCCAATGTACAGTTACTATTGAGAAATAATTTTGTCTTCCACAAAGGCCAACGTCTCCTTGGTGTTTTTGCCTATAAAAGGAGCATGGATTGAAGGGAGAAAGATACAACAAGAAGCTCTCAAAGCCTCTTCAATCTCTCTCTAATTCTTTGTGCTATATTGTTTATTATTAGATCAAATAGTGCATAGAGGCAATTATTTTATTCATGAGAGTGTCTCTTTGAAGTGAGATCATTTTGTACATGAGTGGTAGCTAATCCTACTTAAGAGGAATTACTACATTTCTACTTCATCTTCATTTCTATTTGTATTGGTGTTTGAAGCTCACCGAATCAAAGGCTTTGTAATCGGGATTTCTTGCCTCCGCCAAGTGCAAGGGACTTTGTTTGTATTTGAGATTTCTTGCCTCTATCAAGTGTAAGAGACTTAGTGGAACCTCGGCTAGTTGGAGCTCGAGGAGTGGACGTAGACTTGGGTAGCAAGTCGAAGCACTATAAAAGAGTTTGCATCTCTTATCTCTACTCTCTTAACTTTACTTGAAATTGTTTTATATTTATTATTGGGTGAATTGTATTAGTTTATTTGATTCAATATTTTTATTATTTTTAATTTTTTCACACACTTAGCTTCCGCGATAGAAACCCAATTCACCCCCCTCTTGGGTTGCCTTTTGGGACAACATAAATTACTTTAATGGATATTTTTAAAATAGTTTAGATATTTATTTTTATTTTAAAAATTTTTAACATATTTATTTAAATTTATTTTCTCTAAATACTTTTTTTAAAACATAAATTGTTTTTTTTCAAACTTAGTTTTCTTAAACCTACAACCAAATCAGACTTAAGAATTTAATAGAAGTTATCTGAGTTGTCATGACCTAAAAATTTGGATTTGTGACTAGTGCTAAGATTGAAATAGATTCCATCCTAGGAAGCTTATAGAAATCATGTAATTATCATAAAAAAACAGAAGTAATTAAATCAAATTTTGTGTAAACATAACCTAAATAGAATATATTTTCAAATTCAATAGTTTTGTCAATTATAAAAGGGACCTATTTGTAGTTAATGGAATTCAACTACACAACACCTCACAATTCTTAATAGAAAGAGAAAAAAACCATATTATCTACCAGTGATAGAATCAAGAATCTTCTTAGGGGTCGTTCAGTAAGTAGGATCGGATAAGGTAGGATAAGGCAGGTAGTTGGATAAATTATCCTCACCGCATAGTGATCTGGATAATTATCTTGTTTGACAAAAGTGGTAGAAGTGGTGGTAGTAGGGGTAGTATTGTCCAAATAAGTTGGGTAAGGGTCGGATAAGGTCGGATAAAATTATCCTACCCCTCCCCCAATATAGTTTATCCGGATTTGACCATATTATTATCCAATCTCTCTCATGCCCGGACTTTATCCGATCTTGCTTTATCTGACCTACCGAACATAAATCTGGTAGGATAAGGGCAGATAAATTATCCTTATCCGCCCTTATCGGTATACCGAACGACCCCTTAGACGACAGGATCTAATAGAATATCAAACTTTGAATCTAAAAAATAATAAAAGATAAGTCGATAGGTCTAGTGATTAATAACATGCATTTATGAGAACAAGTGACATGTATAACAGCATGCAGAAAATCTTATTTTAAAACCAAAATTCATGCATCATAACTTTTAAGAAGTTCGTGATCTAGAATAAAACAATAATCAAAGGGTAATCTCATAGTCTATCGATAACAGAAAACCAGGCAGCGACTTCATAGTTAGCCAATAACAAAAATTAGGCAGCAACCTCATAATCAGCCAATAACAAAAATCACACAACAATCTCTTAGTCAGCTGATAATAGAAATTAGGTGATGACCTTTAGTCAAGCCACAACAGAAATCAGACCGTGACCTTAGAGTCAACCGATATACAGTATAGTATAGATCATGGTACTCAATCTAACACCTATTCCTATTAGCTGCAGTGTTTTGTCAATCCAAATTTCTCTTTGAACCAGTTTTACTGATACATAGAAATAATATTAATTGTAAACATAATTGTCTTTAGATACAGGTATAAGCATTTTTAGAAAACAAAATTTGATAATACTTCGAAATAGTTTTTTAGACAATTCTCATACACGTCCCTTGTTGTATTTTCATTTAATCAAGTAATTTACTTTAAAATCATAAATCAGGTGTCAAGTAAAATCAAAACTTTCAATATATGTAGAAAATTATGAATACTCATAAATACATTTTATTACTCACTAAACAAGTTGGAAACAAATAGTTCAATCTTCGGTAGTATAGGCTTAATGAAAGACTTCTCAAGAATATAAAAAAAGTGATAACATGTCCAAATTAGAAATTTGAAGTACCTAAGAGTTTCATTTATTCTAATTTGAAGTACCTAAGAGTTTCATTTATTCTAAAAACTCTTAGTCAAACCTGTTTGATTGAGATAATCCAAGTCCAAAACCAAGTTTAGATCTTGAGGTCCAAAACACAAATTTAGATTTAATATTTCTATATTTATTTATTTACTTCTCTTAAAAAGAAACCCAAATCCAATTTCATATTTGGATCCCAAAACTTGAGTCCAAGTCTCTATTTGAAATCCAATCCAAATTTACTAATCCAGATCCATTATTTAAATCCATATGTAGAACCAAATTTAAAATCAAATTCAGATCCCAAGATCCAGATCTAGAGCCAAATTCATTATCCAAATTCAAAATAGAAGTCATTACACAAAAACTAGATCTAAAACTCAAATCTAAATCCAGATCCATATTCATTACTCAATCCCTTGAGTCCAATATCATAACTCCAAAACAAATCTAAAATCCATATTCTCAATTACAATTCTAGTTCTATTAGATATGGATCTATAATCCCAAAATCATTTTAAAACCCTTAAACTAAAACCCAAAACCATCGTTCAGATCCAGATCTAATATAGAGTTATATCACAATGCAATACCCAGTCCATTTTTACATAACCATAATGGAATCCAAAATCTAAACCCAAATTTGATTCATACTTGATTAACTAGGTTATTTTCCCACTTCCTTTGTTGAGAAAATTGCACAATAAAGTAAATTTTCAAGTTTTCAATGGTGGCTTCCGATGCTGAAAAGACACAAAATGACAGCTTGCCTTCATCAATTGAACAAAAACAAAACTAGAAATGACAGTAATGTTTGCAGCAACGACAGAGAAGGTGACAGAAATCGGTGACTATGTATTGACAATTTCTCTTAAAATCAGAGGCTATTATGTGAAATTAAATGAGAAATCTCATTTTAATGGCTTATATTGATGTGATTGTGTGCTTAATTTAAGATCAAATCATGAAAATCTGGAGATTTTGATAAGATTGTAGTTAGGGTTTCGAACAAAGAAACATGAATGATGATCAAATCCAGATTTTGAAAATTTTCAATTAGGTCCTTCAATTCCTGTTACATGCAATTTAGTCATTGTTATTTCTGATTCACACCATTTAGGATTATAAAGTTTAAGTTAAATCAATTAGGCCCTCTAATCTTTTAATTAAGTCCCCAGATTTTTTATTTTATCAATTAAGTCTCTAAATTATCACAAATTTTCAATTGACCTCTAAATTAGGGTATTACATGGGTTGTGCCAGTTTAGACACTTCATGTAATTAAATGGGTATCCAAATCTCTTTAATTATTAAACGAGTTTAATTAAATGGATTATAATTAGATATAAGTTGGATTTAATAACCCAGACAACCTGATATTACAGGTATCCTACTAGATTATTTATTAATTTAATATAAACAAAATTATCTCTCTAAAATTTTCTCAAATCTCTCTATTTGAAAAAAAAAATGAATATGATAAAATTATATCGTACATCATGCATGTATTATATGTATATCCATTAGAATCCAATTATTAATGAATTTCAACGCACGATAGTTATATTGGGTTGATTTGAGTTGGTTCGCCCGGATTGGTTATATAATTGGAGTAGCTGTACTAAATGGATTAAATCATCTAAAGCCATTTAAGTATTTGAATAGCCTTTAAACGGATTTCAAGTTAACATGTTTATACATATAAATAATTTAAATTAATCATTTACTTTTGTTATAATATATATGTATATATATATATCTATGTGTGTGTTTTATTGACATCATTAACCCCGTTCATCTTCGACACAAAAACGATCTATCAACGAACTATTATTCACTGCCCTTTCAAGGGTGGCTATTTTTTATATTTAATTTATGTGATATTTATATATATGAGAAAGGATCAATGGATACCGAGAATAAGTATAAAAGATTTATACTAAATTTTACATCGTTGATTTGACCAAAATTAACGGATAAAATTGATTACAGCTGTTTAATTTTAAATTAATTATTAGAAGTTATTGGAAGACAGCTGTAATTAATTTAATCTATTGATTTTGACCAAATCAATGTTGTAAGATTTGATGTAAGTGTTTTATACTTATATTAGTATTAATTGATCATTTATATATATATATATATTATTTATTTTAAGTTAAGGGATGGAAGTTCGGATTTTTTAGATTGACTTAACCCACTTGTACAATAAAGTTTTTTTCTTTATTCCTACACCTACAATCTAAAAAAAAAAGTAGATCTAAATAATATCTATACTTAAATGTTAATATAATTTACGTATAAAACTCCTTAAAACTGTTGAATATAGATTATGCAATTTGTTAGAACTTAAAACTGATTTATTTACCATTTTTTTCAGTTGTGTAGATTCATGTTTCGTTATTTATATATGAATTTTTATGTGGATTAAATCAAGTTTTTTATTTCATTCATAATTTAGAATGTATTTAAAATTATAATATATATTAATTAAATTTACACTAAGAACACATTAAGTTAAACACAATAAATTAAGAGAACAAATCGAGGGTCATTAACCCATATTAAATTCTAACGTACTGAAACAAGAACTTGAATAACTGTTGTAATTCTAATACTCAACTAACAAATATTACAGGCTCTCACCCATTTGATTAACACTAAACATTAAATAATCATTATTAACGCGCAGAGATAGGGAGAGAGAGAAGGAATCCCAAGAGAAAAGAGAAACGACATGTAGAAGGAGAGGGAGAGGAAAGACGATGATGGGGGAGTTAATTCTGAGCAAGGAAGCGTTTGATGAGAAGCATCAATTCATTAGCAGCGTCGGAATTGGGATATATGGTGAAGAAGCCATGTTGCTGTCCTTCGAACTCCGCGTACTCCACCTTCTTTCCCCAACCCTTGAGCTTCTCCGCGTACTCCTCCGCCCTGTCTTTCAGCAGATCACTGCCTCCAACCACCACCAGAATCGGATCCAGTTCCGCCGTTTCAAGAGGCGGCTCGCCGGTCCGAATGGATTCACCGCCGGATGATCCCTGCTCTCCCCCAACGGTATCGATAGCCTCCAAAACCTGCTTAATCAATACAGCCCCTTCACCACCAAGAAAAAAGCTATTGATATTTGAAAAAAAAAAAGACTTAAAATATAATTTTAATATATGATTTTAGTCACAAGTTTTTTAAAATTTCCGACAATAAAATAATTAAATTATTTCTAATAAAATGTTTAGAAAATTCAAAATTAATTTTTATCAAAGAAAACCCACGTCCCAAAATACATATATAATTTCTTAATTCAAAACAAAATCATGAACACAAACATAAAAGTAGTGCAACTTGGTTGATTTTAAAGGGCTTTACAGAATTTCTTAAAAAATATTCTCAAGCATGAAAATCAAATTTAATTTGAAATGTTTTCTGTTTTCATTTTATATTTTCATTTTCTAAAAATAATTTTTATTTTCAGATTTTCAAATGTTAGAAAATATGTTTGGTTTGATTTTAATGTTTCTATTGTCAGAAAATAAATGAAAATTTTCAGTATATGTTTTTATTTTTAAAAATTTTCTAAAAACAATAAAAATGGTTTTTTTAGAATTTTTAATTTTCATCTATTTTCCAAAAACTATTTTTTAAAAAAAAAATTTCTTAAAAATACTAAAAACGGTTTTTTTAGATTTTTTAATTTTCACCTCATTTTCCAAAAAATATTTTTTTGTAGAAGCAGAAAATATGCAAAATAAATGTATTTTTAATTTGATTTTCTATTTTATTAAAAAAAAAAAAAAAAAGCAAACCAAACATGTCCTAAAATAAAAATCGGCAGAAGAAAACAAACAACTGTCACAACTGGTGACCTGTCAATAAGTTCCCAATTCAAGAAAGCATCCTTGGGTCCCTCCGCCTCCGACCTCGTCAGAACGTCACCACCAAAGAAAGGTGCCAACAGCACGTACCCCTTCACTCGAACCGGTACCAACTCGGGCGAGCCGGCCCTCAGCCGCACTGCCAAATTATGGGCAATGTTCCCACCGGCCGAGTCTCCCGATATGAAAACCCGGTTGAAGTCAGCCACATCTGTCAACCATGTATCCGGCTCATCAGACGTGGCTTGAGCTCGGAGCCACTTCAGAGCCGCATAACCATCGTCCATAGCCGCAGGGAGCCGGTTCTCCGGGGCCAAGCGATAGTCAGGGGAGACGATCAAGGCTTGGAGCTGGAAGCAAGGCGGAAGCAGTAGTTCTGGCAGTTAGGCCAGGTTCGTGAGCCGATGCAGAAGCCCCCGCCGTGGATGTAGTAGAAAATTGGGAGTTTGGCGGAGGGAGGCAAGGCGGCCGGCTTATAGAGGCGGAGGTGAAGGTTGTGAGTGGAATCGAACTGAACGTCCTTCCAGAGGACGGTGCCGTCGTCGTGGACGGGGACGCCGAAGCTTGGTTTGGTGGATCGGACGATCGAGCCGTCGCTGTAGACACGGAGCACTCCTCTGCACTCGTCGACCTCATAGGGGGGCGCTGCAACCCGATCACTTCTTACGTCAGACATCTCTCTCTTACTCTTACTGTGTGCGACGGCGTGCGTCAGAAGAAGAAGAGGGAAAAGGGTTTTAAGGACGGGGAGGGCGGTGGCAGCGAGGACAGAGGAAGAGTTAAACGGGGTGCGGCTTTGAGAATGATGACGTATGCTGATGGCTGGAGCGCAGGGATTGTTATGGGTATAGTAGTTAGTTAAGGATGGAAAGGTGCTAATTTATGTCTGTCAATTTATTTATTGAATTAATTAACTAATTAACTAATTAATTAATGGGCTTATCGTGAATTGACCGAAGCCCAATACCACCACCTTTTGTTTTGTAATATCATGTAATAGTTTCAATGATTCTCGTGTAATAATGCTTCTACTATGATTGGAAATGAGTTAAACTAAACCAATTTGAAGTAATATCAGCTCAGACTCAAATCATTTAATTTAATTTGATTTATAATTTTAGTCATGCTTTAACAAGTTAATTTCTATAATTCAGACTTGACTTACACTAAATTCATGTGTGGTATGACTCAGTTCATTTTTTAATATTACAAAATAAAATTGATTTGTAAAAATGAAATTTCTACTACCTTCTTCTTAAATATTTGATCAACATTTATATATATATATATATATATAAACTTATATTTGTGTGTGCAAGAGAAAGGAAAAGATAAAAATTAATTAATAAAAAATTGACCTATGAAAATTGTTCCCTTTTTCATTTATATATATACATACATACATCTATTGAAAAATGGAATAATCCATATAAGTCAATTTCTTTTCTATTTTCATTTTGGCCTATGGAAAACAACATATGAAAATTAATTATTGAAAAATTAAATAATTCGTAAAACTATTTTCTTTTTCATAAATACATGTATGTGTCAATTAATTATTGAAAAAAATTGATTTACGTGAATTGTGTGTGCATGTGTGTGTGTGTATAATGAAATAATTCACGTGAATCAATTATTTTATAAATTCCATTTTTCTATAGTTTATATGGAAAAAAAGATGAAATTTAACTATTTAAAAAGAATTATTTTACATAAATCGTTTCCTCTTTCCATATATATATGGAAAAAGGAAATATGAAGAGATTAATTGTTAAAAAATGAAACAATTCCCATAAATCAACTTCTATCTTATTTTTTTCCCTCTATGATTGTGTGTGTATTCCATTTCTATTCTAGAATATAATATTATGATATAATATTTGTTTCTATTAACTAATTTATATACCGTATTTTATATATATATATATATAATTTTTATATCTGGATATAAAGCATCACGTCGTAATATTTGATATTTATGTGATATTTAATTTTTCTTTAGTCATTTACTCATTTACTAATTTATTGTATTATTTAATACTTATATAATAAAATACCATTTTATTTAATTTATTATCTTATTCAATTTTTTGGCACATTATATTAAAATGGGTTTTAATTGTGCATTTGGTTTAAATCCTAAACTTTTCAAATCTAGTACACATCAAATCACATAATCAATTTATTCAGTAATTAATTTCTATATATCTGTTTACATTTTCCATATATACATATATATGCACACACACATAACAAAGCAATTTTCTTTTCTTATAATTCATTTTTTAGAATTTTCTCTTTTTGAATTCGTCTGATTAATGAAGAAATAATTAGTCTATCCCTAAAAGAGATAATGACCATGGTTTCATCATACTTTGCTTGTTCTTAATTATATTTTTGTGCATTGTTCTTCAAAAGTTTTTTATGTGTTATGTTTAATTTCTTTAGTTTTTTGTATTGTAATGAAAATTTTTTATAATTATGATATTCAGCCTCAAAACAGGTTATGGGGAAATTTTTTATAATTTTTATAATAAATTATATTCAGCCGACTGAAATAGAAATTGACAAATTTAAATTCATAATAACAGTCACTAAAACTCGCACACTCAAAAAGATTCATAAGAAGTGTAAGTTTACTTCTTCTAAAAGTATTCTTACAAGGAATGTTCACTAGAGTTTTGGTTTGTTTTAATAACCCGAAACTCTCTCTCTCTCTTATTCTTTGAAAACATTTTTCTATCTAAACTCCTTTTTATCTAAAGTTTTATGAAAAAAGCCTTGAACTCTTTTAAGAGTCTATCTAAAAGTTTTTCTCAAAATTCAACTAAGGATCATTCATTATCTCCTATTTGTAGAGGAAAAATAAGATATATCCAAATATTTATCTTGGATATAAATATATATATTTATTAATAATATTACATTTCAAAAAATCAAATATTATCTCAAATATATATAAATAAACAATTAATTTTAAAAAATAATTTATCTTAATATTCTAAATATTTTCTTCTAATTTGAATAAATTAGATTTCTAACTAATTAAGAAACTTCCATGATGATTTAGTACAAGCATCCCCATGGTTAGATTAATTAATTAATAAATCTATTAATTCTCACTTATAACTTAACTAAATGATAAATCATCTAATTATCATATTTAACTCATTAAGTCGATCTAAGCCATAATTAATTAATCAACTTAAACAAATTCTTACAAATGTTATGAACTTGTTTGCGTTAGACGTAACTTCTTAAGTTCACCACTTGACTAGCAGCAAACTTGTAACGCATTACAAATTAATATGCAAGTAATTAATTATACTTAATTACTCCATTAATTATAATTTTTTTATCTCGACTTAATCCCTGTTAAGACGAGAGTACCACGCTTTGCTTTCCAGGATATGTTAAAACAAGTTTGGGAAGACCTGGAAATAGATATGGTTAAAACGGTAAATCTCTTTCCATTCACCCATACTACGCAGAGTGATCATTCCATAATCAAGACCTTAATTTTTAATATTATATTGGCTTCTATGTGATCTTAATAGTCATACATCCACTTCGGATTATTGATTTATTGACCAATTCAATAAACCTTTTTCGTGGGTGTCAGAGACTTGTGTAAGCAGAAGGTTTGGGTGGAATGGGTGATTTCAGGTGAGTTTATGGGGTGGGTGACAACCGGCGGATTGTCCTTCATTTTTTTTTTTTTGGGGGGGGGTGGGGGGGGGTGGGGGTGGTGGTGAGATTTGACGGCGGCTCAACTGAAACTAAGCTAAGCAACGATGAACAGAGCACAAAGCGAAAGAGAAATGTCTCAATTACAACAACAAAATCGTTAAATAGAAGGGTGATCTGAAGGAATTGGAATGTAAATCTGGTGAAGACGGCAAAGATGACCTTTTCTTTCTTCCCATTTCTGCTTACTCTAACCTCGACGGTCCAACTGGGAGGGAGCCAGTTCGTCGGCAACTTCCGCTCCTCCACTTCGCTGATTTGCTTCTCCAGTGATCGCCGCAACTTCTCGGTGTAATTGGATCTATGAGACCACAACTTCTTTTATTTTTAATATCTACTTTTCGACTTTTTCCTCTGACCCGAGAGCCAGTCGTTCACTCTCTCTCTCTCTCTAAAGTGAGTGGTTGCCAAACTTTGTGCCTTTGTATTTCGAGAAACCCAGACATGTTGGAGATGACAAGTTTTGATAGATAGCTGTTTTGTTCCTCCATTCCTGCTAATCTATGAGCCTAATTTCTGCAGTAGTGATAGTCCCCTTCGACCTATCACTTGTCAAATTACTTACTTTTGGAAATTTTATTTTTTTAAAAAAATTATATATATATATTTTTTATTTTCCACAGACTCTATCATTGGAAATATATATTTTAAAAATGTTTTTTTAATTTAATTTAATTAAAAACAAATATTTTTTTTTTGGTTTCCAACACATTGTCCATTGAAAAATTAATTTTTAAATTTAAAAATTATTTTTATTTTTTATAGACATTAAATAAGCAAATTGTCTCAAGAAATTTTTTTTTTTTTTTTTTATAGATTTTAAGTGTTTCCATAAACTTCCCATTTGAAAATATGTGGAAAAAACAATATTTTCTTGTAATGATTTTGAAATTATAACTTCTTATAAATGAACCAATTTTTATATTTATTATCTATAACTATCTATAATTTCATTAAAGTGATATTAAATGATATATTGTGAGTTAGATAATAATTTAAAAGTTGTCATATACAAGTTCTTTGATAGATAGTTGCTATGTATGAATTTGACTTTATATTTTAGGAATTTCAATTTATTATTTATGAGTTTGATTTTTTTTTATATGTATTTATGTTTGATAAATAATACTTAATACTTTACAATCAATACATTATTTTTATACAATTGTTAACACTTCTAAATTTCTTAATTATAATACAATTAAAATATAACGATTATTTTATATTTTCAATATTCAATTGACATGTTCAATTAAAGGATGCGGAGTTTGATAACCATCTCAATTTTTTTTTGTCCTTTATTCAAGTCCTCAAAATGAATTTGAATATTATTTTATAGTGTTTTATTTTCATATTTATAGTTTTTATATTTCATGTTAATTCTATTTAATTTAATAAAATCGCTACTTTGAATAGGATGGCTTGATGATTTTGATTATTCAGATAATGAAAATGTAACATATTTTTATTTGGGTGGGAGAGAAAAGAATTATCACTAAAAAATATTTACATTTTCAAAATACTCTTACTTCAATAACTATTGTAAGTATAAATCTCTGTAATCATATTATAATATACAAATTATATATATATTTTTTTATTTATATCAATATGTGTGTGTTCACACATGCCTTAAGCAAGAAAAAGATGAAAATCTCTAAACATCTCGTAACTTTTGTCATTAACTAAAAAAATAAATAGTAATATAATAATTATATAGTCAAGTGATAAAATTCAAATTAGTTTATTTAATAGAATCTTAATACTCCAAGAAATAAGAAATTCCTTTTTAAAGTATTTACTAAACATATTTTTTAAAAACTTTTATTTTTATTTTCATTTTCTCTACAAAATTTTAGAATTTAAACTTTTAAAAAGAGAAAATATATAAAACTGCAAATTATGATAAGAGATCTAATTTGTTTTAAC